CCCTGAATGAAAAGAAATATAAACATACAGTATGTAACACAAAATAAAACAACTGTAATGTGACAGTAATTATCGTCACTCGTCTGAGCTGTTGGAATCCCCGTCGCTGCGTTAATAAGTACCTGTCCAATAAATAAGGCTGTGGACTTATTACACCGAGGGGCTTTAATATATATGGAGATTGAACATAATACATTGAACAGGTTGGGAACAGGAAATTGCATAACAGGATTTGAAGTGAAAATCAGTCAGAATTGTGCCCAGGATTTCATAACCCTGTACCGGCCCCTCTCACATATGTCATGTAAAAAGTTAATAACAACTCTACTTGTTACTTTTATAGATGCCAGATAGTGAGACAGATCAATTTTGTTCTTATTTACATGCACAGTCAAAGGAAAAATTGACAGAGAACTTGCCAACTAAATTGCTGGCCATAAATGATGAAGTTGAAAATCAAGTGGTTGCCACTGTCTCAGATCAAGGTAGCCCGCATCACAGTCCCTCATGTGCACAAAAGGTGAGCACAAAGTAGCCAGGATGTTAACTGTGGGGGGAGCAAAACAGTGGTAACAATGTTACCACCCCCTAAAGTGGCAAGCAATATGGCGAATTCATGATTGAATTCCAAGCTTTCACCAAAATGGCAATATCTCAGAAAAAATTGCATAAAAAAGTCTGATCTTTTCAACCAAACATGAATGATATATGATTGACCAAATTTAGTTTAGATGACCTTGCATACCTATATATATCATTAGTTTTTTCAGTCACTATTTGTATTTATAAAGCAGTGACACTTTGTTTTCCATGTCACTCATCACCTAAAGCAGTGGCGTAACGTTATATCAGGAGGCCCCCGGTTCAAAATTTTCGAAGGCCCTCCCCCATAGTAGAAATGCCGAATGCACGAGTTGAGCGCCGTATATGCACGAGTTTTCCGGAAAATTTTTGAATCTAGACTCTCTGAAATGCCATTTCCCGGACTTTGGGGAGAGATTTTACAGAATTCTAATGGTCAGAAAACGACATTGTAACATATCAGAGGCCCTGGCCAATGTATTTGCTCTACAGCCTGAGCCTGGGGGCCCCCATTTGGCCCATTGGGGTTGGGGGCCCCCGGGTTCTCCCGGTCTGAGCCCATAGTAGTTACGCCACTGACCTAAAGGGGTAAAAAGTCAATAACATTTTACTTGTTACTTTTATAGATGCCAGATAGTGAGACAGATTCTTATTTAAATACACAGTCAAAGGAAAAATTGACAGAGAACTTGCCAACTAAATTGCTGGCCATAAATGATGAAGTTCAAAATCAAGTGGTTGCCACTGTCTCGGATCAAGGTAGCCCGCATCACAGTCCCTCATGTGCACAAAAGGTGAGCACAAAGTCAGGACTGCCCAGCGGTTGGCGGGGGCCCGGGGCAATTTTTTTTTTTAGGGGCCCCTATCTAAAAAATTTTACCGGAAAAAATTTTTTCCGGATAACAACCTCCCCCCCCCCCGTCACCAAAAAATGTTCGGTCAGTGTACCATTTTAGGGGTAAAAAAATTTTTCCGGAGTACAAAATTTTGCCGGACAAGTACGTTGCAAATGCTTTCGAGGGACTTTATCTCATTTTTTTATGCCAAAATTCGGTACTTAGCCCAAGAAAACAGATATCTTGTCCTTTGCACGGAAATATTTAACACACAAAAAAGGCTGGGGCCCTACAAAAATTTTTCAGGGGCCCCCAGCAACTCGGGGCCCGGGGCAATTTGCCCCCTTTGCCCCCCCCTCTGGGCGGCCCTGCACAAAGTAGCCAGGATGTTAACTGTGGGGGGAGCAAAACAGTGGTAAAAAAATCCTTAACAAGTCTGGGGGGTAAATAAAGTTGGGCAGTATTGAAATTTTAATACCGGTTACGGTATTTTTAAAATATCGTGATATACTGTTAAAATCTTTTAAGGAAATGTGTGACCTACAGTAAATGCAGTTTACACCCTGAATAACCCAAAATTTCAAGGCAAAATCAAGAAAATTATCCATTTTAACGATCGTTGTTTCCATATGATCGGCTATGGTCATATTTTTTTTTTACTGATCTACTTGCTAATTAACGATGTTCTAAAATGTTAAAATCTAATCTAAAGCACGCATACATTGTGTTTGTTTTTCGTTTGTGAACTTTTCTTGCTGTCCAAATAAAAAGATATTAAACTAATGAATTAGCCATGATACCGGTATATCTTACAGTATACCGCCGATAACGGTATACCGGTACAGCATCAAAACCAACACCGCCATACCGGTATCAATTAAATACAGTGAATAATTAAGAATACCGGTATACCGCCCAACTGTAGGGGCAAATTTGAATTCCTACACTCTCTAGAACAGCACTTCTTGCCTTCTGAAACAAGTTCTGAATGATGAATCTAAGAACATTTATTTTTTATCTTTAGTCCAGACAGTACTGCTGGTACCCCCCCCCCTCCCCACCCCACTGTTCTGCCCATACTTCAACTTTTTGCATGAACAGTTCTGGAATCATTGAGCAAGGGGTCCTACACCACTGAAAGTAGCCTCTGTTTGTCAAAATTAATTGACTATGTCATTGTCTAAGAACAAGAGCGATAATTGTGATGAAATTTTGGTAACAAATTTCCAATTTCAAACTTGGTGAAGCCTATTAAATGCTGCAATGCGGGGAGAGTGGGTTAAGGTGGCTCAATACATTTAGATGCGTATTTTTGGACAATCATTACTTGTTGATAAACAAAACCTTTCTTATATAAAACAACATCTAAACAGTTTGGACAAAAGTTATGCAACTGGCGTTGCTATGGCAACAGTGACGTTTCAAGACGTTTTGGCATTATAGTCTTAAACGACATTGGTGACCCCCAAATTTTATTTTGAAAAATTATTTCTCTTAGTATAATCAATTATTTTGACAATTTAAAAAAATTCTGTGGAGCCAAATTTTTTAAATTACATAAAGGTGATTATTCATAATAATTTTTTTTGGCTCCACAGAATTTTTCCTAATAAAAATTTCCTAAATAATTGATTATACTAAGATTAAATAAAATTTGGGGGTCACCGATGTCGTTTACGAGTTGAATTACTTTAATGCCAAAATATCCGCCATCTTGAAACGTCATTTTTGCCATAGCAATGCCAGTTGCATAACTTTTGTGCAAAAATTCAAACTCTTTAGATGTTGTTTTATATAAGTAAGGTACTTTTTGTTTATCAACAAGTAAGAATTGTCTAAAAATACGCATCTAAATCGTGAATTTTTCATTTTTTCATAAACTGTATTGAGCCACATATTACCAATAATTATCAATATATCGATATGCAAGGCCGGCGAGAGCCAACCACGGGCCCCAGGACAAAATGACGATTGGTGAACACGGTCCCCCTGTCCCTCTCGACTCTTCCGCTGGCTATTTTTAATCGCAATCAACGAGAGAATTGCCAGCAAATTACTTGCAAGAAATCACTGCATAACTGATAAACTTTGCTGAGAAAACGATCGAAAAATCATTTATTTCACATTTGGTACGTTTTATGATCGATGACGACGATCAGCGGATAGTGTGCAAGTAGGCGTATTTCATTTAGGACAAACATAAAGCGATGATAAACAGTACAAACATTTTACCGAGATTTCCGGGCCCCTCTGAGCACTCCGGGCCCCAGGTATTTTGCCCCCCTGACCCCCCTCTCGCCGGCCTTGTCGATATGTTCATTGTTGCCAACTTTGGGAAAAAAACATCTGTGAGATTTTGATTATCTATTTTTGGCTTAAAATAGCATGAAATTTTTCACAAGAAAAAAGTTTTATGTAATTTGACGCAAATGAATTCACTCTTATGCACTAGTCAATGTAAACCCCCGCACCCCCCCGGCCGGAGCATAGCGGGGTATTTGACTTCCGCCTATGTCAAATGTCGTCAAATGCCCAGCAACACAGGGCAATATTTTTATTCTAATAGCATGAAATACCCCGGTCAAAAGCCCCGGATCCTTTTCAAAAACTTTTGTTTGGAGTAACCGCTTAGGCAGGTACAAAACAAAACATCAAAAACTACGGGGCACTCAAAGAAAGCATACCTCCGCCAGCGAATTAAGTTATATATCATATATAAATTATACAATGGCTAATTACGCATTCTGTTTACTCTGCCCAGGAAAGCAAGACAAACATTTTCAAACTAATTTCTTATTCAAATGTCATCCAAAATTGAACCAAAATTTAATCAGTTAGTGCTGAGGACATGTGTATTCCTTCAACAAACTTTCGTGAATATCTGTTCACTACTTTTTGAGATATTCTGGTTACAGCCGGACAGACATCCAGACAAACAAACAGGGGTGAAAAC